TGCGGAAGTACCAGTCTTTCTGTTCTTCGTGAGATACGGACGGTTCCTCTGGGTCTTGTGTATTAACTAAACAGGTCGGGGAAATCTCTTTAATCTGAGCGACCTCTTCACTCATTTCAGTAGTGTCGATTGCAGGGAGTGCGTTGCGAGAAAGTGCATCAGTCACTTTATTTAGGGAACCTTTCCGGTAGCGCACCTCAAAGTCTAACTGTTGTTGTTCATCGGTCGCGTTAAGTGGCAAGTCTAAATCATTTAATCCTGACCCAGATTCAGGATTTCTTAGAAATTTCACTAATTGGAGTTTATTTACAATATCCATGCCTAATGCCACATCGACTGTTAAATTGGGTAAGTACAATGCTGATAAATCGTATTCTGAAGAAGAAAATTCAAATGTAAAATCATATCGTTTTGTGGCAGACGTTTGGACTCCATTTGCCAACTGTAAGAGTTGACTTATTTGTTCGGGTACTATGCCGGCGTTTTGGAGATGATCTTTCACTTTTTCCCCAATTATGCTAATCATAGCTCCTGTATCTATAAGAGCCTTGAAGGTTTCACCTAGAATTTTGATATTTACAAAGGGCCTATTGTCTCGCGTGCTTAAATATCCACAGCTTGCCATTGGTTCTATCGTTGGAGTTGGTTTGTCTAATTTGACTGGTGATTGTTGGACGAAGTGGGCCCCAGCGGTCCACTCGTTGCTGGGACCCTCCCGGCGTTTCCCTGCCTACATGGGCAATTAACTGTTCGCATGCCCTCCCTTTGACAATAAAAACATTTTATTATTTTGGGCTTTGGACAATCGTTGAACCGGTGGCCGTTTTCACGGCAGTTCCAACAAGTGGGAACTCTCTCATTGTTCCTTGCATTAGGAACCGGCTTTTGCCAATCCTTACGAACTGGAATGTCTGGGGGATTATTGAACCCTCCCGCGCGTGGGTTTTGGGGTCGAGGATCGTCCTCTACGTTCCTACCCCTACTTTGGAATACGTTTGTGGGAGTTTGTTTCCTCGCCGGCGAAAATTGTGGTCTTTCTGGAGTGGCAACTGCGTTCACGTTTCGCTGATTCCTATTTTTAGCGTAGTAAGCAGTCTCTGGTACGAGTGCTTGTGCTGGGTTCGGCGGGGGTCGGTAGAGATTTCTATCTCTAATGTAAGATTCATATCTCTCAGCTTCCTGAATCATATCAGATAAACTGATACACAAGTCTCTTCTTAGTGTCAGCTTATATTCGGGTCGCATGTTGAGGAATAACCGATCAAGGGTTTGATCTAGACTATAGCCACCACATCGTCGGATAAGAGTCGTCAGCGCGACAACAAAGCTGCGAAATGGTTCATTTTCGCCTTGAGTTCGCAATCGAATTTCGTCCTCTAGATTTCTTTTGTACCCCGGGGGCAAGAATTGTACCTCAAAAGATTCTTTGAAGTCCTCAAAAGTTTGCCAGAAATCCTTATTATTTCTGCACCATAGAAGTGCGTTTCCACGCAACAGCTCAGGAAGAGCTTTCAAAATATCAGCGGGGGCTATCTCGTAGCACTGTCTTAATTCTTCTAAGCGCTCTAGAAAAGATACGGGGTTACGGTCTCCGTCGTAGTGGAGGTTCCACTTTCTAGCAATGTTACAAATCGCTGCTGCGGAAAGCGGATTAGCGTAATTGGTTTCCCCTGAATACTGCAGAGGTGCGTTATTTGTTTGGTAATTATGTTGAAGGCGTGAAGTCATTTGCACATTCGTTGCTGGGGACACACTTGTGTAAGTATTTAAGTTCAACGGGTAACGGACCTCATGACGCGTCGTTAGCGGGAGAGCGGCGTCGTTTACCATAGAAATGACTGAGAGCATTCGTTTTACCGTGTCCACGCTCGCGTCAGGCGGCAGGCCAAGCATTTCCCTTACAATGACTGATTCGTCGCTGGTCGCGTTTCTGTCGTCGTTACTATAACTAGTAAAGTAATTATCACCCCCACGTCCGCTTGAAGGTATAAATTCCCTAAATTCCGGCCCGGCTTCTGTCGCTGGCAGAGCGGATTGTCTTAAGAATTCAACAAAGCGGCTCCTGAGAGTATCGCTGTTACCCTCAGTGTCTAGACCGTATTCGCTCATCTTCTCTTTTAATTCCTTTTTCTTAAGATAATAGACCCAACCTACTTTTCGCGTGGCTGTAAGGTCTGACAAGTCGCGCCCTGATTCCATTCTTTGTTTTGGGATCGCGCCGGTACTCGTCGTTGATATGGGTTGTCCTATTGAAGGTACGGAAACAGCGGTAAGTGTTTGCGTTGTGTGCGTTAACAAGGTCGTAACTGGACCAATAGTAGTTTCGGGTGTACTGACGGTCGCGTGCGTTACCCCGTCGTTTTTCTCATTTGTGCCTGCCATTTTTCTCTCTATTTCAAACAATATATTATGCGATAAGTCCCTGTTCGGGCGCCATTTTGTAACCCGCTTCCGGGTGTGTTTCGTTAATTTGTCGGGTCGGGGCGTTACGCGTCCCTGATAGCCTAGCCGAGCTGGGTTATTCCGGGGGTCAATTTTGGTCGGGTTTCCCGCTTTTGTATCCTAAAGTCGTTTTCCTGGCTCAGGCGGGAATATTTTGCCTCTTGGCTTTATTCGTGCCTCATCATTGCCAGGAAACGAGTGAATAAAAGAGGGAGGGCGAGATTTTGTTTCGAAGTTATAGCTTCGTGCGCGACTCTGTTCACAACCTCCTCGGTGGAGTGTTAATTATTTATTTAATTTAATACCCTACGTCCATGCGCCACGGACCGAGCAGAATTAGTTTAGATGCGTCTTTATTATTTAAAATAATACAATGCGTTTCGGGCGAGTGGACTAGTTCAAAGCCCCGTGAGAGAGTAGGAATATGGAAAGGTGCAAACGAACATACAGAGTAGGGCGGAGAAGGGTCGTTATAGAAAGAGTAACATACGAGACACACACACACACACACACACAGACAGGTTGAGCACACAAAGACTTATTTCAAATAGATTAAGCATAACTAAAAACTAACTTATTCCCAGATTTTCCGGGATAGCTTAGGTCTAACTTATAAATAACTTATTTCCGGTGTGCCCGAAGTAATTAAAGCTAACTTATAAATAACTTATTTCCGGGCTTTCCGGAATAGGTTACATCTAGCTAATAACTAACTTATTTCCGGGGTTTCCGGAATAGGTTAAAGCTAACTTATGACTAACTTATTTCCGGTGTGCCCGAAGTAATAGAGAAAGAAGAAAAGCTACTTAGCAAACTACAGCTAACCAAAGCAGTTAGCTGCACACACACAACACATACGATACACAGATCACTCAATTAGCAACAGTCCAGGAATCAAGGAAATGGTAAAGAATGGAAAGAGAAGTTGGGGCTTAACTGTCTAACGTCACGGCGAATTAAAGTTCCCAAAACCAATCAGTTTTCCCAAAGCCTTAGTTAAGCATTGATAGTCAAAGGTTAAGCAAGGTTAAGCGTTATGCTAAGATTTGAAGCAATTTCTAAGGTTAGTGTGTTAGTAGCGGTGTCGTATCATAAGTTAGAATATTTAAATGCATACGGTTCAACACATCAATAATTAGTGGAAGGCTAAATGAATAATTAATAATGAAGTGTTAAATATAGTAAAGAATAGTAAAGCAACTACCTAGAACATTAACAGTTAATAGCGGCTAAGCAACGACATAGAACATAACTACTGTGCACTGGTTCTAGTATAAAAGATAATGAATAGCTACAATGGTTAGTACAGTTCTGAAAGATGTACAAACAAATTAAAGCGTGTTAGTTAGTAAAGAAGCCAACAAAGTACTAAAATCACTCTAATAAATCCACTATGAATTTACTCTTATTCCCATGGATAAAATATCTCACAGCTGAAGTGCTGCTACAGTAATTCAGCTAAACATTGACTAACAACTAAACACCACACATTATATTTAGGTAACACCGTGTTCTCACGGACCTACGCGATAAACAAAACAAACAAAAACACACGAATATGAAAAAGCCACCTTGCGTGACCGGAACCGATAGAACTTGAATAGATTTAAACAATACAAATAAAACAACACAATTAAAACAGAAAGTAATTACAACCGGGCGGATCTCGTTCTGACCGTTACTTCTTTGAACTCACGGTCTATAAATTATTTATTGAACCAAGTTCAAATATTCCACAAATCAAAGCTGATCGTTATATATTTACAAAGCTATTTTAATAAAACAGATAACACTCTATGTTATAGTAAAACGATAAAGATATTCACCGGTTTAAATAAATCGATCTCTGTTAATAATTCAATTAAATTTAAGACGAAACTTCCCGCGGACGTTTGACTTAAATAGCGTAATTAATTAACAGTGAATAAACGGTTGGCGTAATAAAAGCGATTGCGAGTGAGGTCGAGTTATCCTAGGCGCCCTAGGATATTAACAACGGCGAATGGCGAATGTCGTCCACTTACTTGGCGTGAGCGAGAGTGTAGGGTCGGGCGTCCTTCTTCTGCCTAATTGCTCAGGCCACTCCTCCTGCTGACCGTCGACTCTCGCCGACCCCGACTCACTGTCACTGTCTCTGCGAGCGCCGCGCACATCCAGCGCTGTGGCTGGGGTTCCTGCGCAGGCGCGGGCGACTGATGCGCGGCCCGGTGGTACGGTGGTGAACCACAAGATCAGCTGTTGCTGAACTTGTGTCATCTGCTAAGTTGTTTTGTTTACATTTTGGAACTTCGGCGAATTGGCGAGGCGATTCTGCTAGTAAGGGTTTAGTTTTATTATAAATATTCACGAATAATATGAACCCTTACACAATACATAGCCCCCCTTGTGGTGATGGGAGCTTGATGGAGACCTTCATTTACAAATAGCCTTCATATTTAATAGTAGTAATTTAATTATTATCATTGTTTTATCCTTGTAAAAATCATTATACTGAAAATCATCTGTAATTGAAAAATATACTGATGAAATATCGAAAGTAATAAATTGTATTTTTGTAGGCTGGATGTCAGTAGTGATTTGATGTCTTTGCACATTGGAGATCGTATTCTGGAGGTAAATGGAACACCTGTCAAGGATCAGCCAATAGAAAACATTGAGAACCTCATAAGATATTCTGACACCGTACTTCAGGTATTTTAAATATTGGAAACTGTCATTTAAAAAATATTTTAGAAAATTATCTTAACTAATTATTTACAGTAGTGACAGTTCATAAAGAATGACTTCTTCACTTTTTATCTTAATGTAATTTAAAGTTTCCGGTCCTCCTTACAATTTAACCTCACTTTTTTATTTAACTATCAAGTCTTTTAACTATATGTGTATTGTCTTCAGTTAATTTTCTAACAGTACTGGTTAGATTGAGTAAGAGTTCCATGTTTTTATTTACATAGTCTTCAAGGCCTAATCCTGCCAAAGCATCCCCCACATATCCATAGTTCATCTTGATACACTTCATGTGGAACCATCTCCCTCAGAATCCATTATAGAACAGCCCCTTATCATTAATTTTTTACAGTAATTTCACATCTCACACACTTCGAGTTTACTTCATCCGCTGCCATCTTTAAGATAAACATAAACAAAAAAACATTAAAAAAAAGGTAAACAAACAAAAATCCTTTAAAAAATCTGGAATAGTTACTCGACACTCGAGTTTATGTCCACCTCCTAATTATTTTTATACAACTGTAATCAATTACAGTGCCATATTTGTCCAGTATTAACTCTTAATTTTCCCAACTGATGTTTTTAACATAAAAATACCCTTTTATTTTATTTGTCCTTAAAAATTAAAATTCATTGTTATATGTTTGGGAATCTTTATGTATGGATACAATGTGTTGATTGTAGTTGACGATAGAGCACGACCCAGACGCAGTGGGTAGACGAAGGCCTACCATCCCACCCCCTCTACCTGCTCCAACGCTCAAACCCTCCGACAAGGAAAGATTGTTCAAGCGCAAGGATGAGGGATATGTCTCAGGTTCACGGTCTTCAAGACAGCTGCGGCGGGGAAGGCCCAATAACAAGGAGCGCTCCTCTTCTATGTCTAGGCTTCTGGATGGGTAAGGCTTAGGCAAAGATGTTTAATTCAAATTACAGTTGGCTCCTCCCGTTCTTTTTAGGTTTTAAAATTTATTAAGAGTATGCATCACTCTAGGAAAAACACAGTAAACATGTCTTTGTACTCTCCTGCTTCAAACAATATTTTTAAAGATATCACTGTGTAATGGTTTTTGGTTTTATTAAATAAAGGTTGGTTTCACAGCCTTGTTATTGTTATCTGACTTATCTTTAGAACAATTTTTATTATACTCGAGTAAAAGCATGTTAGTTTTGGTCATATGATTATTCCAAATGGTGTGTATGGTAAAAATTGGTTTCTAAACAGCCTATCATATATGGTAACAGATCACTCTCATCTCTATCATGCAGGCAGTCTCATTACAAATTTAATGTGAATAATGAAACTTTAAAAACTTGTAATATTTTTATAGTAAGCAAGGTTCAATCCCTACTGTCTCAAAATAATACAAATCAGTAAATTTTTACGTAATCCATAGTTTTTTTAGTGATTTTTACTCAAAGCCTTGATGAGCCGGTTTTCTTTGATATTCAGATCACCACCCACATCAAGGGAGGGATGCGACCTGTCGAGGACACGTTCCTTCCGAGTAGAACCCAAGAACCAGAGGATATTCCGAGCCTCTGATTTGGTAAAGGGAAGGCTCCTTGGTCAGGGGTTCTTTGGAAAGGTTTACCAAGTCACCCACCGGGACACAGGAGAAGTTATGGTTCTGAAAGAACTTTACAGGGTTGAAGAAGATGCTCAGAAAAATTTCCTAAAAGAGGTATATGTTCAATTTGGAAACATAAACTTATTTCGTTGTAAACAATAATACAGTTTTTCTTGTTTCAATGCAATACAGTAGGCTCTCATAAATGAGTCACTGGAAAATCAGGACTGGAATAATGGAAAATAAGTCAATAGACCTCGTCAATTAACTGGTAAATTTGAAAAAATGAATATGTTGCTTGCTTCTTCAATTTGTGAATGATTATCTGATTACAGAAATTACAAATGCATTATATTTTGCATATGTTGACACTCTGATTTTACCGTCGTGGATTAGATGATTCACAAGATAATGGAATGTAATTATTTTTTAATATGGTATGTTTGTCTTCTGTGTAGTGTTTATTTTTTGTTCAACAATATTTTTTTATAAAAATCTTAATAGATTGACTCTGGAGAAAGAGTTAGTCCTGCCATAAGATCCCAGATAATTGATCTAACCAACTTTTGTTGGCAGAAGTAAAAACAGAAACATGGTTGCCACTACACAAAGGAAAATAAATACGTTTCTTAACATACTGTAACTAAATTTGCTAGAGGTTTTTTCAAACAAAATAATTATCAGTATTAATTTTGTCAATCAAATCTAAAAAATCGGATGACATGTAGATTTGACTAGGTTAGTAGTGATCACTAGTAATCACTAGTTTTTAGTACTATTGTACTAACTAATACTAACTAATGTATTTTAAGTTGATAAATCAAAGTGTGGAACTGTTAAATAGCATTGACACAATTGGGCAGAACAGTTAGTAGTAGACCACTATGTGCTGCCCACCACCACTCCAAAAGTTGTACATAATATGGATAGCCATATGCTACATTACTCCCATTGGTTTTTGAGATTCTACTATTCAAATGACCTTATTGTGTTAAATTTATCTCTTGGTTTTTCATAAAAAATAGTATAATAAAAACTCCTTTACTTTTACCTTCCGTTGACCTTAATTTAATCTTCCACTTAATTGCAGGTTGCCGTTTTGCGTAGTCTCCATCACCAAAATGTCCTGCGGTTTATCGGAGTCCTGTACAAAGACAAAAAACTACACCTAGTCACAGAATTTATCTCAGGAGGTACCCTCAAGGATCTGATACAGGACATGAGTGAACCTCTTCCTTGGGAGCAGAGAGTGAGCTTTGCCAAGGACATTGCAGCAGGCATGACTTACCTCCACTCAATGAACATTATCCATAGAGATCTCAACTCCAACAACTGTCTAGTCAGAGAAGTGAGTTCAAAAAACATTCCATTTTCATCATAAATAATAGCTGATAGGACAGCTCATTATAAACTAAAACTATATTATCTCTTATACCACAGTATCAAAAAATAAGAAAGAAAACATAATTCAGACTGTAGCGCACCCTGTAAGTGGCTAATTCAACTATTTTTTTTTTTTTTTACACAAACAAAGCTACAGTTGGTTAATATACTTACTTACTTGAATACTTGAAGACTTCGTCTCTGACCGGAATCCGGGATAGACTGCGTCAAACTAATTTTAAAAACTGAACTGCGATTGCGACGAGTTAAGAAAAGTGGCACGTCATCTAAATCTTTGATTCAGTAGATAGGCCTACTTTGAAATTCTTCCCGCACTGAGATTTTAACCCCAGCCACATCCATACTTCTGACTTCTTCAGGTAGACTGTTGAAGAGTTTGATTGCGGTCACTGGGAAGCTATTCAGGGATTTGGACAGTCTGCATTGAGGGGTGTCGAGGTATCTAGTGTTCCTGGTGTTATGCTGATGGATATCCTGTCTTCTTCTTTACATAGAGATGTTCTGGCGTACATATCAGAGAGTTAAGACATATTGTCCATAAACAGTTAGAATGTCGTGACGTTGAAAGATAGGCCTATGAGTGAAATCTCTGCCCCTATTTCAGTAGAGGTCATCACTCTCAACGCCTCCTTTTGTAGTATTAACAATCTACTGCATGTGGAAGCGTGATCCCAAAGGAGGATACCATACACGATATGGCTGTGGTACAGTGACAGGGTGTATACCAACCGGGAAAACCGGGAGAACCGGGAAATAACCTTGAATTTGAAGGGACCTGGAAAAAACCGGGAAAAAGCCGGGATTTTTGGACCGAATCCGGGATTTTTATTTTAGCCCCGGTAGAAGATTATAGTCGTAAAATGCGTCTTGCCGCGGTTGCGGGCGACGACGATAACGTTTTCGTGACCTCGGGAGACGACGATGACGTTTCGTGACCGCGGGAGACGACGATGACGTTTCCGTGACCGCGGGAGACGGCGATGATGTTTACATGGCTGCGGTAAATATTCATGATTTTACCGCGATCGCGTACTTCGACGATTACGTTTCCCTAACCGCTGGAGTCAATGATGATGTCTACACGGCCGTGGAAGATTTTCATGATTTGCCGTGACCGCGAAAGATGACGATGATAATTTCTACACGGCAGCGTGAAATACTCATGATTTTGCCGCGATTGCGACCTACGACGATGACGTTTCCGTGACCGCGGGAGACGACGATGACGTTTCCGTGACCGCGGGAGACTACGATGACGTTTCCGTGACCGCGGAGACTACGATGACGTTTCCGTGACCGCGGGAGACGACGATGACGTTTCCGTGACCGCGGGAGACTACGATGACGTTTCCGTGACCGCGGGAGACGACGATGACGTTTCCGTGACCGCGGGAGACGACGATGACATTTCCGTGACCGCGGGGTCAACGATGATGTATACACTGCTGCGGGAAATATTCATGATTTTGCCGAGATCGCGGACGACGACGATGACGTTTCCGTGACCGCGGGAGACGACGATGACGTTTCCGTGACCGCAGACGACGACGATGACGTTTCCGTGACCGCGGACGACGACGATGACGTTTCCGTGACCGCGGGAGACGACGATGATTATGTCTACACGGTCTCAGATGTTTATGATTTTGCCGAGATCGCGGACGACGGCGATGACGTTTTCATATCTGCGAGAGGTAATGATGATGTCTACACAGCCGCGGAAGATTTTCGTGATTTGCCGTGACCGCGAAAGACGACGATGATGATTTCTAAGAGGCCGCGTGATATGCTCATGATTTTGCCGTGATTGCGGTCGACGACGGTGACGTTTCCGTGATCGTGGAAAACGACGATGACGTTTCCGTGACCGTGGGAGACGACGATGGTGTAGACACGGCTGCGGGAAATATTCATGATTTCACCGAGATCGCGGACGATGACGTTTCCGTGACTGCGGGAGGCTATGATGATGTCCACACGGCTGCGGAAGATATTCGTGATTTGCCGTGACCGCGAAAGACGACGATGATTTTGTCTACACAGCAGCAGATGTTCATGATTTAGCCGCGATCACGGACAACGATGATGACGTTTACGTGACCGCAGGATCAACGATGATGTTTACACTGCCGCGGGAAACATTCATGATTTTGCCGAGATCGCGCACGACAACGATGACGTTCCCGTGAGCGTGGGAGTCAATGATGGTGTCTACACGGCCTCGGAACATTTTCGTTATTTTGCCGTGATCGCGGTCGATGACGATGACGTTTACGTGACCGTGGGAGTCAATGATGAGGTCCACACGGCCGCGGAAGATTTTCGTGATTTTGCCGCAATCGTGGATGACGATGATTACGTTTTCGTGATCGCGAGAGATGGCGATAATGTATACATACCGCGGGAGATGTCCAGGATTTTTCTATGGTAACGTAAGACTGTGATGACGTTTACATCACCGTGGGAAGCGACCACACGACCGCAGGAAATATTCAGGATTTAGCCGCTGTTGATAATGTGTTCATAAAAAATGAAGATAATATTCATGATTTTGCTGCTATCGAGAGAGACGATGTTTCCGTGGACTTAAGTAATGATGATAGTGAAAATTATTACTATAATATGGATTAATACTTTTTCAACACTAGCTCACTGGTCTTTGAAACAAATTTAATGTAAGTTTATATTGTATACTTAGGCGGCAAGTCTTAGATTGATTATAGTTTAAGTGGAACCAAACAAATACGCGGGAACCTGGAAAAACTTGGACAAACCAGGAAAAAACCTGGAAAAAACCTGGAATTTCACTTTAATAAAATAGTATACACCCTGAGTGAGAAGTAAACAGTAACAAGGTACTGCTCAGTGACCACATCCCGTAGCTTTCTGAGGAGGAAGACCACTCTACACAATTTGGTGCAGATCTGGGCTATATGGTAATCCCAGTTTAATTTCTGTTCAAGCCAGAAACCAAGCAGCTTTACTGGTTGATTTTCTTCAGCAGCAATTTGTCTTCCAAGAGTGCAGATCAGGAGTTGGGTCATAATTCCCAAGTTATTCTTATAGAAAATAAATAAAATAAACCATTGATTTTTGCTTGTTTATGGATATATTTTGATCAAATTTGGCAAATATTTTTATTTTATACTAAGCTATTAATATTTCAATGAAAAACACTTTATTGCCTTTCCAGTAGCAGCAAACTTAAGTAGACCTACTCATAAAACTTCATGTTATTTAAATAGGAAATAAATCTGACAATTTTGAGGAAATATTTTAGTGAAATTCACTTGGACTACAGGTTTGCTGTGGCAGGGGTATTCTTATTTATAGAAAAGCATAATACTCAGAAACTCTGAGATTTGTAAAACTTCTTATGGGTAACAAGATCCTTTAATTCTGAAAAACCTTAAATAACAATTAATTATTATAAAAAAAATTATTTCAGGACAAGGCTGTAGTGGTTGCGGACTTTGGCTTGGCAAGAATAATTTCGCAAAGCAATTCTGAAAGAGGGTCAGGGATCAGTCGTATTGGTGCTCGTAGATTTGGAACAAAAACTGGTCCGAACTCCCACCGCAGATGTGAGCGCAAGAAACGCTACACCGTCGTGGGAAATCCATACTGGATGGCTCCGGAGATGATGAAAGGCAACAAATATGACGAAAAAGTGGATATTTTTTCATTTGGGATCGTTTTATGTGAGGTATGATTTTGCTGTAATGTTTCAAACTATTATGAATCCGTAAATTTGGTTTATTATACTGCCTATAAATGTTAATCACATTCAGAACAGCCGTGCAAACTATTTGTTTTTTTAGAAAACTATTTGAAGATAACTATTTCAACATTACGTTCTCATTGACGTTATAGCGGTCAACTAGTTATCGTCTATGACAAATACTAATACATCCATATGAGCGTCTTTGCTGTGAAAAATAAATCACGTAATGACAATCAATAAGTATGTAACGTGCAGCACTGCATTCCGAAAAATAAAAAAAAAGATGGCTATTTATTAGACATATGAAAATGTGCAGTCGAGCTAAAAAGTAACAATAAAAATAAACTAATTCCAAACACTAAATTTTAACCTTGATTTCATTATTTTCATTTTTGCGTTTTACTCTTGCCAAACCTAAAATATTCATGAACTCGAAGACGATGATGTATGATACAATACTGAGTTCATTTAGTAGTTTTTCGGTTGTTCGCTTGCTTATGATTTACCATTAATCTAGAACTAAACTAAAATAAAGCAGAAAAGAACAACAAAGTTCAAATAAAAGTCAATTTGTATAGAAATATACTGTTACTTGAGTGCTGTTTATATTACCAAGCTATATTAACATTATAGCTTAGCTTATAACTAGTAATTTGTCCATATCAAAATTTATCGAATCTTGATACCGATACCTGAAAAATCAATTCTCAATTCCGGTACAATTTTTTATCTCTTAACCAAATTTTCTGAATGGTTTGGTTATACTACCCCAACCCCTGTCTTTAAACAAGAAAAATACTAAGAAATGTTTTTTTTTTAAATAGTATTAATCAGTGCTAGTGTGTAGTTTTTAAAATATATGCGTGTTATATTCTGTGGTTTGTTTATAGATCATTGGAAGAGTCAATGCAGATCCCGATTACCTACCAAGATCTTCAGACTTCGGCCTCAACCAGAGTGTATTCAGAGAGAAGTTTTGTGCAACATGTCCTGAACCATTTTACAGAATAGCCTTTCTTTGTTGCGACCTGCAACCAGATAAAAGGTTACTTTAACATTTTTTATATTCCTTTTATATGTCCCATGTACTAATTTGTAGGGGTGTGCGAATAGTGATTTTCAACCTCGAGCCGAGCCGAGCCGAGCTTTTTAAAAAATTTTCGAGCTCGAGCTTTTTTGAGCCGAGCTTTTCCTAGCGTCACCTTATCTAAATTAACTTTTTGTTTTAAGAAAGTGCATAATAATAATAATGTTCAGTCAATTTTTAAATAAACACAATGTTATTTTAATATGTTTAAAAACATTGAGAATTGTCAAGACATCAAATAGTAGATAATCACGATAAGAACTGAACTGAACTAAATTAAGATGCAAGAAATAAAAGGATATCGATTGAAGGCCTGACGAGATATGCAGTGCAGACTGAGACAATCAGATTGTCTTTCATAACAGAACAGCAACGCGACCTTGAATGACCGACAAAACAACTAGCAAGTCGATTACATATGTATATTGTAACTACTATGAATATTTAATTCTATTTTGTATAAATAAATAGAAAATAAATTTAAAAACACGTGATTATTCTTGTTGTTTTCCATGCACAATAAATTTTTGTTTTATGAATCGTATTAATAAAAAAAGAACATAGTTGGTTTGGATCCAAAAAGGTGGAGAGACAAGTAAAAAGTAAACTTATATATTAAAAAAAATATAATTGACATATAGAGGAAATAGACCAAAACACCAAAATTAATAGAATAACACACAAAGTAAACAAGAAATGAAATAAAGAACACGATGATTTAACACTGTCACTCAATTTTGTTATCTAGAAGGGTCGGCGAACTAATCAATAAATAGCCAAAACCAGTTTCCTCCCCTTCACACAGTCTCACCGCCCCCCTCCCCCCCTTAAGCCGGGAGGCCCAACACTTTGTCCTTGAAACACCCTTGCGTCTGAAACAATAAACCCTTACACCCTCGCTGCTGTTTTGACAACAGGTTTATGAATGCGATCACTATTTTTCATTTTCCAGAATTAACTATAAATTATTATTATTTGCAAGTTACAAATAGGAAACTACATCACATTATGGTATTCCAATGACCCATGTATTATCAAAAATTAATAATTCATTACCTATTTTGATAATAAAAAGCATTCATTACAGCACGCACCACTTATTGATATATATATATATATATAATCATCAAAGTAACTGTTACTTTATACAAAATAAAATAGGTACAAATTTGTGTGGCCAGTCAAACTTTATAAACAAACATTTTATTCTATAAAACACAGATGGTAAATAGGGGTTGGTTTAAAGGAAATAAAATACAAAACAGATTAATTCATTATTTTGATAAACATTAGAAAGGTTATGGGATTGATTGAACTAAAATAACCGCAGGGAAACTTATAAGTAGAAAAGTCGTCAACCACAATCTGTTTAATCAGTACATTGTTAGAGAGAGACAGCAGAGAGAGAGAATGAAAGGGAGATAGGAGATAGGGGCGTTTGATAAGGAATCTGAAAAAGTAAACAAACAAGGAACAATGACACGACGATACGATACACGTTTACAGCCTTATTGTGTCGCCCACTACATTTGCACACGTGACCACTTTTTGTTTCTTCCTTATCTTTCATCCGTCCCAAAATAGAATTCCTGAAATAGTTTGTTGGTATAATCTCCCCTCCTACACAAGGCGCAGTGCTCAGTGCGCACTGTAGGTTGTCACGGCAACCGTGTGTCGTCATAGTGACGGGCCAATCACGCACTCGCACTGCGTTGTATATTAGGATACGAATAGCTGTATTAGAAAGACAACACGATTGTGGTAGTTTGTCTCTTTCCTATGTCCTCAAAATTACGATCGATAATCATTGCGTCTTGACTGAGCCGAGGTTCCTGCTTATCAAACCTCGGAGCATGAACAACGTAGAATTGTGATAACATTGTTTTCAATTACGACCCAAATTAAGTGTTTTTTTTTAGTTTTGACTTAGTATTAAAAGCTCGGCTCGAACTTCGAGCTTTTTCAAAATGCCTCGAGCCGAGCCGAATAATGAAAAGCTCGACCAAAAAGCTCGAAGATTCGAGTACTCGCACACCCCTACTAATTTGAGTCGGCATATTCAAACTATATGGATAAACTTTTTTGTGAAATAAAATAATCAACAATCTTTATTCACCTATGCATTGAGTTCAGTGTTGCGTTAAGACTTCATCTAGTTATTGTCGCATGTTGAAGTAGCAATATGAAATGTATATGCAGTGTATAAAGAAAGAGTAAAGCATTGGTGACAGTTCATTGTTCATTCCTTCTTTAAGGAAACACCCGGGTCGAGTATATTGTTTTGATCCAGTAGGCAATTTGAGATCTCCTCTGGTAGCTGGTTGTAGAAGAAGGCACTCTTATAGTAGTGTTTCTTTTTGTACTGAGTGAGGCCATGTGCATATAGAAGGAAGTGTGTCTTGTGTTGTGTGGGTGAAGGTTTTCCTTTCTGGCTTGATCTCTTGATCTGGCAAGTGAGTCTACTGTCAGCATCTTGAGGTCTTTGAAGGACAGCCTGGATGTGTCTCTTGGGCCTAGTCCAATCAGTGTCGTAATAGCTCTATTTTGTGAAGTCCTAAATACTTTTGTACAGTCTGCACTTTTTGCAGATAATTTATGCTTGTGCCTCCCCAGGCCGCAAATCCATATGGGAGGTGTGACTCGAGAAGACAATGGTGTTATTCCTTGGATGACAAAAGACTGGGATTTAACTTTTTGCAGAGATGGTTAGTGTTGGGTGGCCATGTGATGTTTGGGAGTCCTTGGAGTCGGTTTAGGGCAGCCAGATGTATTGGATTGTTTAAATTGAATCGCTCGTTCAGCACTATTAAGAGAGAATTGCCTTACGAGCCTGTAGCCCTTTTAATCCACAAATCAATCAATTTATTTATGGAACAAAAATGGATACATGTATGTTATACAACAGGTGCAAAAACCATGCAAAGTTTGTCTGCACCAACGTGTTAATATCTTTAATGTATTTTAATAAATTAAAGCTTAATCAGCAATCAACACAGTTCTTTGAGTGTCCTGAACATTCCACTGAGAATGACCATGCACATTTCAATTATAAAAAATCATTGAGATTCATGCTTCCTCAAAGATTTTTTAAAGTTCTAAACAGGAAAAGTCATGGCCTATTCGTGCAAGGAAAACCGCAGAACTCTGCCGAGAAGTGAAACTTCTAACCTCTTATAAGTTCCCTAGTTATTGCACCCTAGAGGGGTTTATGGGAGTAAAAATTGGTTTTTGACCCTCAAAACTCAACATTTAGATATTTCTTTTTAATACATTTTGTAGAGCTATAAAATCAAAAACAAATAATTTAGTACATTGAAGCATTGTAGGCTCAATCGTTGCGGAAAATAATCCAAAAAACTAATTTTAAAACTACTATGTTATTCTTACAGAGAATAAGTAAACTGTTGTGCAGTTTACTTGTTTGTGGATATATTTAATTCATTTACGGAAAATGTATTGGTTTAATTCCAAACTATTATTATTTCCATAAAAACATACAATATTACCTTACCTGTAGCAGCAGACCTAAGTCGGCTTACTGGCTGAAGTCTGATGTTATTTAAATAGGGAATACATCTGACATTTCAAGGATATAATTTAGTTTAGATTTAATTGAATCAGGCCAGTGGAAATTCACTTAGTCTGCAGGTTTCGTCAGCTGGGGTATTTTAGCATCTTGTCCTTCATGCTCTGTCAAGTGTCTGGATAAGCTTTATGGTCAGTTAGAGGGGTTTTCACCACTAACTGACAGACTCTTTGGGTAAGCTCTTGATTTGTAGTTGTTTGTGGTGGTATGCTTTTCAGTATTTTTTTAATTCTAAGGATAGGCTGGATAAATTTTTGTGGGTTTACTATTCTCGGGTAATGAAGTTGAATTTTCATTTGTTTTTCTTGTTTAGATTACTATTTAATGGTGTATTATGTCATTGTGTGTATTACCATTGCGACTTTACTTCTCCTTGGTATTTAGAGCTTTACCTTGCACCAATTCTGATTTAATACTTTTGATTTCCTGTTCCAGCAGGGTTTGCTTACTTTTTAGTAGGGCTGATTAATTTAATAAAGTTGGTTTCAATCATGATTGGAAATTCCATGTGCTTTGGTATTGGGTCAATTGATTTTCCTAGTTTTAAGATTTATACTAAGTTGGTGAAGTACAGTAGAGTCTCGCAAACTCGGCGTAATGTGGACTGGAATGGTGCCGAGTAGGGGTGTGCGATGCATCGAAAATGCATCGAAATTTCGATTCGATTCGATTCGATGCATCGAATCGCGATTCGATTCAGTGGTGGTCAAAAAACGATTCGATTCATGAGGGAGTCAGTATCCATATACGAAAAACGCCTGCAGAAAGTCAATGCAATACCCGCAATACAGGAGCGCGTTGCTGTTGCGTTTCCTTTACGAAGGCGTTCTTATTTAATACATTCTTTGCATTAAATATAGCTTTAATTGTTTTATAATTTTTTGTTTTGACTTTGCAAATGATGAGAGGTTTTGTTTTTTGTCTTGATGTAAGCAGTGTGAGGCATGTTTTACTACTGTAAACCTTACCAAAACAAGATAGGCTACTCCAAATCATTCTAAAAATAAGTCTGAAAAATCTATATATTTAAATTTTAAAAATAAGTCTGAAAAACTGTTACTTAATACTTAACTAGCAAGATTGATGTTTTAGACTGATAAATTTGGTATTTTTGTTAGGGGTCTGTGGGTCCCCGAATTTTTCAGGTCAGGTCAGAGAAAAAAAAGAATAATTTATTTCCAAAGAAACACTCTTATATTAGGCCTATTATATATATCTTTACAGGGGAATTAAAATGTTCAAATGAGAATTAAAGTTTAAATTAGCTCACGACCTTTAAGAATAAAGACACAACAGAGCAATTGCTGCACTGCCACTAGCCAGATCCAGTCTAATCGTCTACTGACAAGAGTGACAAGACAACAGCCGTGAC